GCTCGGGAGTGTAAACGCTTCGCCTATGAGAAAAAGTAGCAGCGCATGAACCGAACACAACACATGCGAATTGAACCGAGACAGTTGAACCGAACGGTTCGGACGGTTTTCATAAACCGTTTCATCCCTAGTCATCCTACAACATGTTTCGAACATATTGCTTAGTTTTCCAGAAATTACTCTAAGCTTGAATTGAAAAAGCTCCCTGGATGGGAAGTGAAACGTCTTCAAACTTTGAAACAAAGTCCAGTGGATTTTTTTTTATTCGTTTGGAAATACATACATTTTTATTTTTTGTTTTAGCTTTGTATCAACATATTCACTTATTCTCATTTTAACCTTCATATGACTACTCTTATAAACCATGTGGTCAAAAATCACTCATCTATGCAGCCTTACATATGAACTTAAATCACATCCTATTGTCCTATTCCACCCTTTACAACTATACTGGTTTCTGCTCTTGTGGAAAGGCAGTCTACAGGTTTTAGGAATGTCTTTATGGGGATTTTAAACTTTTTTTTTAGAAGCATGTTTGATGAGGAGGACTAGATTTAAGTCTGTGCTTTAATGAAGCCCAAAACTTCTCTTTTAAGCTCAGGACTAGTTAAACTCATCTACACCAAACTCTCTCTCCTATGTTTTAAGTGATCAGTGGTGCACAGTCGTGTTGGAAGAGGAAGTGGACAGATTTAACAAGTTCTGAGGCATTAAATAGAGTACATGTAATGTCTTGTTCTGTTTCTAGTGGAAATCATCTTATATTTCTTTTGTACCACCAGGGGGCTAGAGTGGAACTTTCTGCTAAAAATCTCAAAGTAATGGACCAGATGCCTCCTTCAGCTCCAAGGTATGAACCACCCCCCTACCCCCGTCATATATCCAATCTGCACGTCATAAACAGAGACCTAAAAGCCTGCTGTTTCTCTTTTTACAGGCTCTTCAAGTTGTGTTTGCCTCCCTCAGATGGAGATCTCTAGAAACGCTTAAAAAAAAATCATATTTCTTGGATCGTGAATGCAGAGGATGGGTTTTATTATTATCTCTTCTTCTGTCTGACACTGCCAGTACAAACAAGGACCATCTCAGCGTATACACCACCAGTGTCCTCAGTAAAAGCTTAAAAAGACTGCTCACACACCAGACAAGGGATGAAGGACCAACTAAACAGACACTTATGGCCAGAGAGCAAGGACTGGTTATGTAAACTTTATTCTGAAAGTATTATTGTGTTTGCCGTTTTCTGACATATAGCTCGCCATTTTTGATTAACAAATGGTGGGCAGGCAATGTTCTCAGTGATTATGCTCACAAACGAGCGGTGTTGTTAACTGGATTAACACAACTACCTGTATCTGACCAACGTCGATCGTACCCATTTTGCCTTGGACTGCAATCTCCAGAACGCTGCCTCATTCTGTCTGCATCCTCCAGGGTCCCCCAGGGCTCAGCGTTCGGACCACAGGTGAAGAAGAACATTTTAGCATGCTGGTAGATGCAGAAAGACAAAAAAAAATGGACAGAGATGGAAGTAGAGACCGAGAGAGGGGGGCTGACTGTTTATTTCTATTTTTTTTTTATTTTCAGCCCATTGCATGTGGTTACTGTGCAATTACTGTAGGCTTAGTGTAAGTACTGTATTAATGCAAAAAATGAAGGATAGCTATTTATTATGTCCAGAAGGAGCTTTTTTTTATCACTTACTTACTCTATATCAGGTATTAAAGAGTCTAAAAGCATTCCAGCTTGCATAATGATCAGTATTTAACGGACCAATGGCATGCCATTTTTTTTTTAAAGCTGTACCTGCTTGTGTGTTTCTTTTTATTTAATTATGTGAAATTGGATTTTGTCGATAATTGTTTGATTAATAATCAGGGCATGTAACGTATGGAGCAACTAAAGCTAGCTAATGCAAATCAAAATAAAGGAAAAACAAAGAAACCAAGTCAAAAAGTTAAGTATGAATCATTTGAAATATTAATATATTAATCTAAGTGTACTTGTAAGTTTGCCTCATTTTTTTTTTCTAAAATCTGAATTTTAAATTGGGTTTTAATGTTTTCCTGTGTACTAAAGTGTTTTGAAAGAAGCACGTGATTGGTCCATTCAGTGTTAGCACGAAGTACTGTAATCAGTTTTAGGTTGACATTAAAAAAAGGGATTTTTGTGAGGACTGAAACGCAGTTAGTTTACTGGAGATTTTATTTTCTTGTAAATAAAGGCATGTAACATTGTCAGAGCTTAAGATAGTGCTGGTGATACAGCAGCAGAATTATGCTATAAATTATATTGGATTATTTTTTATGGAAATAATATAGTCTATGAAAAAATATTTTGTATTGATGCATTTGAAGAGGCGCTGCCTGTCTGCTTTCAGCATCACCTCATCTGCAGCTTGTTTTGTTGACTGTGCTACATGCACGCCCAGAGCCTCTTACACTGCTTTTCATACTCCCATATCTGTTTACTTGAAAGCAGCCTGACTCCATATTGGCATGTTGCTATAATCTCACCTTTCAGTTGTAGCTTGATTTGTCCATCAGTTTCCAAATGGCTTGGAGGTATTTCTATCAACATATGTAGCTGTATGCATTTTTCTTGTTGCATCAGTCATCATAAACTGTCCGTTTGTGTGCGTCACCAGTTCCAGTTAATGAGTGCAGCATGTTGGTGTAAGTGGACAAACACATTGTCTGATTCGAATGCTTTCATCTGTATATATTCTTTATTTGCAATTTTATTTTGCTTGAAAATATCTGTACAAAGATCTTGTTTTTTGTTGAATCTTTCTAAAATTATTGTAAATGGTATCTTAACAAGTTAGTAAATAAAATGTTCTCGTTATGATTGTGTCCGTTTTTGAAATGTTTTCTGTTTTTTTTTTCTCCATTAGTTTGTCCTAACCATTAAAGGTATTGCGAAGGATTTTCGTAAATTCTTTAAAAGAGCCGACCTCTCGACTTTAAAAAACAAAATATATGCACAACCCTCTACCTGCTCCCATGAGGGAACACCTATTAAATGAGTGCCACAGCATACACAAGCCCTTTCCTCCTCGTGCATTGTTTAAAAACTGCTCTTCTCATAGCTCAGGGGTCAGCAACCAGTGGCTCCAGAGCCGCATGCAGCTCTTTAGCTTCCCCCTTGCGTCTCCCTGGAGCTTTTTCAAAAATTTATGAAAATTTATTTTTTGTTTGTTTATTTTAATATGGTGTGCAGGAGGTCACACAAACATTCATTTTGTAATGCAATGTTTTGGAACATCCATCTTCTTTTGAAAAAGGTGTAAATGTAAAAATTTATTTCAACAAAAATTTGCATCATAGGCGTAGAGATCAGTGGTCATAGCCTGCAACACACTTTTCAGCGTGGCACGGTGCCAGGCCAATAAAGCGGCGGGTGTGTCTCGGGCCATGAATCCCGAAGGGAAAGAAAGGAAGACAGCTGATGAGAACAGAGGATTCAAAGAAGAATAGACCGAATCATTTGCTTTCATTAACAAATCAGAAGGATTGCCTGAATTTTCTCTTGGTAATGAGAGGTTGACAAAAAAACTAATAAAAAGAGTAATTTGGAAAGGCATTTCCAGGGAAGGCATTCTAAATATGCAGCCGATCACAAAGTTGGGAGCAAGAGAAAAAGTGCAGAACTTCTGGATAAATTAGTGGAGAGCAAAAACTGATTTAAGAAGTGGATTGCATCTCCGAACTCCACTACTGCTGCTACTTTAGTTACAAACATGGAAAACCGTTTACAGATTGAACATGTAGCACTCTGATGCAGGGATGTGAACCACAGATATATGCCTAAAAGTGTGCATGTGCAAAAAAAAAAAAAGCTTTTGGAGTGAGCACATACAATGGCCTTACATAAACATATCACCAGAATGATTGACAACTAGCAGGACCACTTATTTTGATAATCCACCCAGAAAAAGAAAATTCTCCACTATACCTTTAATGTGCTGCATTTAAACTAATACACTTCAAAGGGAATGAACTAAAGATCATTACGACTAATTCCTGGCACTAACTCGATCATCAGCTAGTAAGTGCTGCTGGGATTTTGATATGGTTTCCTCTTTCACTCCTGATACACTGATATCATTGTCTATTAGGAAAGCTGAATTCTCTTTCTTCAATTCAAAATGTTTTTTTAATGTAGAAAGGAGAATAATTTACCACCCTTCTTGTAATCCATCAATCCCACTTATAAGGCACTTGGCATTTTGTTTGAGCTTGAAGATATCATCTAGAAGTGATTGAGAGGGAGAAGATGGAAAGGAGTCCATGTTACAGGCGATGAAGTTTCTAATCTGTAAATACCTGAAGAAATGAGACCCAGGGATATATTTTGTCCTCTGTTGCTCAAAAGAACTGAAAACATTGTCAGTGAAGAGATTATCCAACAATGTTATTCCAGGATTTTTTTTCAAACACTGAATGACTTACCCGGTATTGATGGGGAAAACATAAAACGGAAATTGCTGCGTTGCCACGAAGGAAAGTTGAAGTCTCTCCTAAATTGGTTCTGCTGCTTGACTGAGTGAATAACAAGATGGTTTGAGGTATAGTTGGAGATCGGTTTTTTTTGGAGGTAGCTTGGCACATAACAAAGATATAAGTGTAACACATTCTACTGACAATGTTTGTAGGGCTACCCATGATGGTAAATTATCATTCTCCTCTATCCAGTATAATATTGCTTTCATGTTGGACGCCCAGTAGAGATTGAAAGTCGGGGAGTGCCAAGCCTCCTGCACTCTGGGTTTTTAGTATACTTAGTTTTGAACGTGTAACAAAAGTAATTTCCCTCTTGGATTATTAAAGTATGATTGATTCTGATTTTGATTCTTGGTCTTTTTTATTCCAAATGAAAGAGGAGATTTAGCTATTTAAATTGTTAAAAAAGGTTTTGGTCAAAAAATGGGAAGACATTGAAGTAGATACAAATACTATGGAAAAAATATTCATTTGATTGCATTTATCCTGCCACCAAGCGAAACAGGCAGCAACTTGCACCCCTAAAATGTTTGTTTTAGCTTAGATAGGAACACCTGATAACTTTCTTTAAATAAATATTTGTGGTTGTGTGTAATCCATATACCTAGATGTTTTAGTTTATTGTAACTAAATGTAAAAGGATCTAAAATAGATATATTTCCTATTGCTCTACCAATGGGCATTTTTTCACTTTTTGCAAAGTTAACTTTATATCCTGAGATTGCTCCAAATTCCTTAATCAAGTCTAGAGATTTTGGGAGATTTTGTGATGGGTTTGAGATAAAAAAACAGCATATTATCTGCGTAAAGTGAGACCTTATGTTCCGTTTCCCCCGACGAATCCATTTGATGTCCATGCACTGTCTCAAAGCAATTGCCAGTGGTTCAAATGTAGTGCAAAAAGGAGGGCTGACAAAGGGCATTCCTGCCTTGTGCCAAACAGGAGAAAGTATTTAGATAGATTGATGTTTGTTCGGACAGCTGCAAGAGGAGATGTGAATAACACCTTTATCTAGGAAAAAAAATGTACCCCAAATCCAAACTTTTTCAATGCATAAAAAATAAAATCCCACTTCACCCGATCAAATGCCTTTTCAGCAATGTCTGCATTAAGAAATGATATTGGCCGATATGAGGTACAATTTAGGTTTTTTGTTGAGTTTTTTTAGAATTAAAGAGATGACTGCTTGATGCATTAATGGGGGCAGAGATTGTGAGATAAAGCATTCAATTGTTGATTTCAGCAATGAGGTGATTTGAGGGGAAACTTCTTTATAAAGTTTAGTGGGAAGATGGCAGCACCAATTCACAACACATTTCATCTCAAGGCACTTTAAAATTCAACCACATCATACAGTCAAATTGATTCAAAGTTTTCTATCTATGGAAAACCAGCTGATTGCATCAACTCATTGCCTCAAAGGCAATCCCTCACACTAAGCATGCTTGTAGCGACAGTGGAGAGGAAAAACTCCCTTTTAACATTAAGAAACCACCAGCAGAACCAGGCTCAGTGTGAGTGGCCATTTGCCGAGGCCGACTGGGGTTCAAGGAGACAGAAGCAGACATACAGAAAGAAGCGGCGATACAAAAGGCAACTGACAACCAGCTCCACAGGCGGCCCCGTCCAGGAAACACACAGCCAGGCAGACGAGCTACGAGCCAGCTCCCATGTTAGAGGATGAAGAGAGCACATCCAGTTAGTCACAGTAAGAGAAACAGGTCTGAACTGAAAAACAGGCCGAGTTTGAACATCTATAAACATAGGCGTTGATGACAGCAACTGATCAGCACTGATCTGTGGTGTCACAGCCAAACAGGAACAGACCAGATGAAGCTACTATGAGAAAAAACAGAGAGAGCATAAAGTTAGAGATTGAACCAACAATCTCAAACGGCAGGGTGGGAGAATAGAGATAGAATAAAGCAGAATGATGAAAAAGGGGTCCCTATGTCCTCCAGCAGTCTATGTCTATAGCAGCATAACTATAGAGATAGCTCAGGATAACCTGAGCCACTCTAACTACAGTATATCATTATATCATTAGCGACTTTCACCAGAGCTGTTTTGAGTGCTATGATGAGCTTTAAAGCCAGACTGAAATTTTAAAAAGTTTATTATGGTGTAAGTGGTTGCACACTTGTTTGACAACTACTTCCTCAAGAATTGTAGATAAGAAAGGAAGATTGGATATAGATCTATAATAGACCAAGTCATATAGGTCAAGAGATGGTTTCTCAAGTAAAGGTTTGATCACAGCAACCTTAAAAGCCTTTGGTACATATTCCTATAGCGGGGAGAGATTAATCACATGTAAAATGGAGGAGGAGATCATAAGGAATACTTCCTTAAATAACCTTTTTGGAACTGGATCTGACATACAAGTTGAAGGCTTAGATGAAGACAAAAGTTTTGCTAATTCTGAAAGTTCAACTTAATCAAATAAATGCATTGTGACAATTTTTGAAATAGTAGTATGACTATTTTTGGGTTGTACTCTATTTCTAGATGAAAATGACAACTTTTAGTCATTTATAAGGACCCTTGTGTCCTTAATGTTTCCTGGGAAATCCAATCGTATTTCATCTTGTCATACCTTTTGGTTTCCATTTATCATAGTGTAGGAAGCTGCAGCTATGAATATTGCATAGGCGTGCATCATCCAATAAAAGCTTTCACTGAAGCTTCTTTGTCTCTTCTCCTAGTTGAGTGGAGAGGGTGTAGAGTTATATCAGGGTGTGTTTTCAAAACTAAAGAAAATACTTTTTTTATTACTTTACTTTATAAAATACTTTTTAGTATTTTATCATTCATTTTCTTTTTCAAGTTTGCAGCTTTAGATGATTTCGCAGAATTTTGTGTGCTTAAACCGAAAAAAGAAAGCTTGATTTGAATGTTGAATTTGGATTTACATCCTTGTCCATGTTTTTAGTCTGTAAATCCATTTCGTTTAGTTAGTTTGCAGAAGATCGGGACTATTAGAGAATAATGAATGTTTATTCACCTTTGCCTTGCCAGCTTGCTTGAAGGAAAGACAAGGAGACAGGATACAGATTGCACATTCGCCCCGTTGTAGTGGTGGGCTTTCTACAGAGACTGAAACGGACTGCATCCAGCAGCAGCAGCAGCAGCAGCAGCAGCACACACCCCTCAGCGCCAAGCGGTGATGCAGCCCCGCGCGAAGAGAACCGACAACTCCTCAGAGTTGCCTCGACTTTAGGATGGTGCAGAAATCGCTCAACGGCGGGGTTTACCCAGCTGAAGCCGGAGAAAAGAAGCACAAAGTCGGGTTCGTCGGCTTGGACCCCGGTGCTCCGGAATCCACCAGGGATGGGGCGCTGCTTATTGCGGGCTCAGAGAGCACCAAGCGGAGCAGCATCCTCAGCAGACCAAGGGCCAGCATCTCCTGCGGGAGACCCAGACCATCGAAGAAAAACGCCAGCTATCGGAAACTACAGAGTTTCCTCTACAACGCACTAGAGAGACCGCGGGGATGGGCGTTTGTCTACCATGCTTATGTGTGAGTGCGTTTCCAGGTTTACCGGCATGTTGGGTCGATCATTGTGGCCTTTGTTTCTGATTCGGGGTGGGGGAGCTTCCTTACGAGTTTCAGAGCTTGTGTGTTTCTAGAGTATTCAAATGGCGCATTACAGGGTTAAATGTCACCGGCTGCTGTAGCCTGAACACCTGCAGTAACTCTGTCAGTAGCCTAATCATCCAGCTGCTTTTAAAAACCTTTAGTTTAACTCACAGGCAAACTGCATGCTTCTATGACACGTGTTCGTATGTGCGCGTTGTTTGATGCGGCAGGTTTCAGCACCACGGCCGGTGGACAGCTCCTGGCCACTTCCACTAATTGGCCTAACATCGCAGTCTGGCTCTGCACTGTGATGACTCCACATATATACAGCAGCCAGTTTAGGCAATCCCATCAAAAGGAAGCTCTCTGCTTTTTACAACCACAGGCATGCAGGTCGATTTTCTGCCTTTTGCCGAGTTTTTTTTTTTTTT